GTTCAGCAGCCCTCCCTCTCACTTTTAACTATATGACTTTGGGTAACTCGTTTAACCTCTCTGTGCCTTTTTTTCCTTATGTGTAAAATGGGGTTTGCAGTTTCAATCTCATAGGATTGCTGTGAGGAGTTATTGAGTTAATCCAGGTACAGTGTTTAGTACAGGGCTCAATAAATGCCAGCTTCTATTATTACTTAATTACCCATGTTTTAGCTAATGAGAGATGTTTAAAAGCCGTTTGTTTCTCCTTCCATGCAGCTTTTGGATTGCTTTGGGATTCCTGTGTTGATGGCTCTCTCGTGGTTTATTCTTTATGCAAGATACAGAGTGATCCACTTCATTGCTGTGGCTGTCTGTCTGTTGGGTGTAGGAACTATGGTTGGTGCAGACATATTAGCGGGGAGGGAAGATAATTCAGGTAAGAATGTGTTACTTGTTTCTCCAGTTCAGTCACAGAAAAAGATTTTGCTTAGGTTTTCACTTTTATTTTTCAAAGACAAATTAAAAGGCAGAAAACATGTCCTGGTTAACTGTCTTTTCAATATATTTTTAGATTTACTTGCTTCTGGTATTGTAACCACTTCCACAAAGCACTCTTTATGTACCTATTTGCTCATAGTTCTTGTTCCTTTTTTGTCACACTAGTTTTGTCTCATGAAAGAAGTTTCTTTATAGATTTGCAATAATCTTCTTTTGGCCCATGCATATGGATTTGTTACTGGAAAACCTATTATAGATTAAAAAAAAAAAAATCAAATAGAGACTCTGTGTCCACTGAATGATGGACTTTTTTCAGTCATTCTGTAGATTAAAACACTTTGATAGTCTCTGGATCAAAATTCTGACAATCAGTAGTATAAAAATCTCGATGGAGTCAATGATTTCACCCAATCTACAGGTGACTTCAATATCTGCTTTAAGAGAGAAATTATCTTGTTTACCTAGCTTCTTTTCCTTTAGTTTTCAATTAATTACCTTCAATAAATTTCATTAATTTCTCATGTCATAGAATCATTTTGTGAGGCCTTAAATTATGGCATATACCACCATCTTCTAGTCTCTTACTCTCTGGAGGAATCAAAATAAGAAAAATTACAGAAGAATTGTGCCGGGAAGTGAGATCAAGTGTCTTTAAACTTCTGGAAATTGGGTTTCTCCTTCCATAAAATCTTAACATTAAGTAAACATGAGTCAGATAAACTCCTGGAAGCAAGCTAGAGAGATTACCCTATTAACAATGTGTTCCTTTTTGTGGCTTGTCTTCCTGTAGGTAGTGATGTACTGATTGGTGACGTCTTGGTCCTTCTTGGGGCTTGCCTCTATGCCATTTCTAATGTGTGTGAAGAATACATTGTGAAGAAGCTGAGCAGACAGGAATTTTTAGGAATGGTGGGCTTGTTTGGAACAATTATCAGCGGCATACAGCTGTAAGAGTCTAAAATTTTCCTTAAAAACAAAAAAACCCAATTATATCATTGATGAAAACTTTCCAACTACTAATATTCAGTGTTTATTTGGTCCAAATTCACATTTGAGATCAGTAACTTGCTAAATATAGCAGAGGATTTTTGAAATGTCAAGAATTAGGCATCATATTTTTATATATGTGGTACAGGCATTACCAGATAAGACTTTCTTTTTCAATTATTTACTGAAAATATTAACTTCCTATTAAAAGGAAAAACCTGTCTTTCTCGTATAGCTGATTACTATTGAAGAGTGCTTCTGAGGGAGTCAAATATGTGTTTATAGATTCCTTTAATTTTATTCTTAGTCATTTTTATTAAAAAGACAGTTATTTTTATATTTTAAGAAAAATTCAAAAGTCAATATAATTCCTCACCTTATCTAAAGTGTAACAACTAAAATGCTTATAAAATAGTGAAAATTAATATATGGATCTCTCTGTGATCTCTTGTTTTAACCTTAGGTTGTTTATGGAATATAAAGATATTGCCAGCATTCACTGGGATTGGAAAATTGGTATGTACATAAATGATAATTCTTTTTACTCAGTATCCTTTCCTCTAACTGACAAACACACATCAAATAAATACTAAAGAGGGAGAAAAAAATGGCATAGATGATAGAGGCTCTGTTCATCTCTCTGGATACCAAATCAAAGTTGTAACGGTAATAAGGAACAGCAGCAAGGAAAAAAAAATCGCCTGGGATCTAGATGAACAAACCATACAACTAGGGAGAAGTCCAGGAAATCACCCTGCAATGGCAGAAGGTTGGACAGGGCGAGGATGCAGGGCTGCCCG